CCTATAGTTTATAGACAATCTGCACTCGGTCAGTGACGTGATAAACATCACGCCGGCCACTTTTACTTCCTAGGACTTTACCTGGCATCCATCTAAGGCTAGGTGGATCTGGGAGCCAATGTCATTAAAAAACCCACTACCTTCTGATCCGCAAGCAAGCGTCTAGCCGCTACATCACGACGGCTCCTAAATCTGCAGATCATCATCATCATTTGCCTTGCCGACTGGCGTGGGCGATCATGCCTCTCCATAATCTGCGATCTCCTGCAGCATGTATCAGTTAGTGTGCCGACACACCGCCATGCCATGCAACAAGACTGTCAAGCATCTTCTCTCGTTGTTTTCCTCTGTCTATCCTTCCACATATATTTCCAACATGTTCTATTTTCCCTCTTCTGATAACATGGCCGAAAAATGATGACTGTTTCCTTCTGATGTCTGTGACAAGTTGTCTTCGGGCTCCCGCCTCTTTCAAAACCTCTTGGTTGCTTTTTTTTGGCTGTCCAATGTATTCTAAGCATTCTTCTGTAAAACCACATAAATCTGCAGATAGCATCTGTTAATATTACTTTATGAATGGCTGTATGTTAACATTATTTTCTCCTTACGTGCAATAGTTAACATTCATTATTCCTTTCTGTTCAAATGGTTACCAGCATGTATGTCCTGGGAAAGTAAAGACGACCTAAGTAATGCTAACCACATTAACCACCTAGTGATGATTGGTCTGTAAAAATATGGGTGCTCTTCCCATATGCCCAATGCGCCTATGACGTAAAAAGGATCTTTACTTACTTATTACTTACTTTTACTATCCATTCTTTTTATATAAAAAAAAGTGTAATTTCATTGTTCATTATATATATCCGCTCTAACAATTTACTTTATACAGTCGACAGCCGAATAACGAGAGTATGGTAGAGAAGTCATCTTATACATGTATTGCCATGTGGTTTTGGAGAACAGATGCTCCACAATAGCCAATACGACTGACTGACAGACTGACATTCAACCCCAACAAGCCATAAATACCCAGTGACACAAAGTGCCACCATTCGGATGAGGATCACCAGGGGTAAGGTCCCAGTAACCCTGTTCAACCGTTAGGTTATATTAGGGCCCCTGACAACAGCCAGGGTGGAGCTTTAAAACAACAAAATATTGCATCGCGTATTGGGATGGTTTATATCTCTTTTTTTTTTAAATGCCTAATAAACGTACAGTCAACAACCTCACAGTCAACAACCTCACAGTCAACACCCCACAGTCAACACCTCACAGTCAACACCTCACAGTCAACAGCTCACAGTCAACACCTCACAGTCAACACCTCACAGTCAACAGCTCACAGTCAACACCCCACAGTCAACAGCTCACAGTCAACACCCCACAGTCAACAGCTTACAGTCAACACCTCACAGTCAACACTTCACAGTCAACAACCTCACAGTCAACAACCTCACAGTCAACACCTCACAGTCAACAACCTCACAGTCAACACCTCACAGTCAACAGCTCACAGTCAAAACCTCACAGTCAACACCTCACAGTCAACAGCTCACAGTCAACACCTCACAGTCAACACCTCACAGTCAACAACCTCACAGTCAACAACCTTACAGTCAACACCTCACAGTCAACAGCTCACACTAAGAGAATAAGTACCCCAATGGCGTATTGACAGTTTAAATGCACAGCACAATAACCAACAATGAGTACCCATATCAATGGCACAAGCATACATTCATGTTTGGCATTCCGAACCCTTAAGGGCCTTTTGCTATAGATATCACCCGCTTTCATTCGGTTCTCTGATTGAGCTTTTATTTCCAGTTGGTGACTCCGAGTATTTGTATGTACTCTCCATCTTCCCAGTCTGCCTCCTTGTCTAATACTCTTTTTGTGCACACATTTTTTTCTGTTATCTGGCATACACGAATTTAAACACGTGAAAATATAAGTATCAAGATGTATAAGCAGTCTCGTACTAAGAGTTATTGCGTATTGATTGTACAAATTCAAACAGATTGTATTCGTAAATTTCTGGATTGAATGATTGAATGGTGGGATGCCAGTGAATGTGAATATATACAGTCATGTCTGTTTTTGACAATGATGATAACAATGGTGAATAATACTTGTGTGATATTAATTAAATTTAAAACACGATAGCTTTAAAGCGTCTGTCGATTTTATATACACTACTCGTCTTTGTATTGTAGACACAAACATTTAACACGTTTGAAGCAAATATGAACAATTATCACATCTTGTAAGTATGCAACAGCAACAACAACTTTAAATAACATATTGAATTATGCTATTTAACACATTATAAAATACATTTAAAATGTTCAGAGAAGCACCAAACACTTTTTAACACATACCACATACCATGTCACACTACCTGCACATGAGTGTCACAAAACAACAAAATAATTCGTTTTTTTCGATACATTTTCCTATGTAGGTTCCAGTTTCCAATTTTCGGGAGAGTGGGGAAGAAAGGAAGGGGGGGGGGGGAGGAGGAGGAGGAGGACCCACTACTCTTCTAATAAGCATGTCGTAAAAGCTTACTAATTCGGGATTCGCTGAAATCAGATGCACTGGGCCCAAAGGCCCAAAGGCGCAGATATGGCAGCCTAGCTGTGAAGACCACAAGACAGCGCGCCAACCGTCTTTTAAAGGGCGAAAGCAGAAGAAGAAGAAGAAGAAGAAGAAGAAGAAGAAGAAGAAGAAGAAGAAGAAGAAGAAGAAGAAGAAGAAGAAGAAGAAGAAGAAGAAGAAGAAGAAGAAGAAGAAGAAGAAAAAGAAGAAGAAGAAGAAGAAGAAGAAGAAGAAGAAGAAGACGAAGAAGAAGAAGACGAAGAAGAAGAAGAAGAAAAAGAAGAACAATAAAAAGAAAAAAAAAGAAAAAAAAAGAAGAACAAGAAGAACAAGAAGAATAAGAAGACCAAGAAGAACAAGAAGAAAAAAAAGAAGAACAAGAAGAACAAGAACAAGAAAAAGAAGAAGAACAACAAGAAGAAGAAACACATAACGTATGAACACAGCTATACGGTCTGTCCTAAAGTTATTTAAATATCCCCTCCAGGAAGTTCCGAACCTAAAATATAATGTATGCCTGCCTGTGATTGTAAAGACAATGTAATTTTGAATATTTTTTCTGTCCTCCTGAACGGTACGACGCTTATACATATGTCAAAATAAACACAAAGCTGCCTGCAAATAAATCCCCATCAGCTGACTTCGAAACCGGGTATGCTAGGATTGCAAAACCGCATTCACGACTCCTACGCCGCTAACGCCGGTACTAAAGTACATTATTTCTTCACGTTTTGGAATTTTTTCCTGAAATTATTAAAATATACCCCCAACACAGTTACACTTCTTTTGTCTCTACCCGCACAGGACGGCAGGTTATATCTGGCCTGTGTAACAATCACGTGTGCCCTAACTGTAACTTTTTTGGTGGCTGAACGGGGTGTCTGTGTAAGTCTTGTAAGTCTCCGTCAGGAATGTGATGTTTAAATTTCATGATAATATGGTGAACCTTTGGGTAGCAGAAGGTAGGCGACAAACTGATCAAGCGATCAATACATTCAACATGTTCCTCGGTAAGTATGTGTCTTGCGCCTCCTTGTAATTTTTTGAAACTAGTTTTATAAAAAAACAAAACAAAAACAATTTCCTTCTAGCGTTTAAAAAAATAAATTGGAATCTCTCAACATGGAGGGAATATCTTCATATTTGTGTTCTAGGCAATGCCGGCTTGGCGGGAAACGAGCAGGCAGATAGTCTGACCTGTTATGCACGACTTGGTGGGGAATTAATATATGATAAGCTGAATGTTGTGAGGACCCTTTTGGAGCGAGTAAACAGTGTGGATGCACAAACAGATCATTACGGTCTAAGGATAATTGTGATTTGAGGAGTTACCAGTGGTTTAGCCAACAATCGACACTCAAGGGAAAGACGAGACGGATATACAGTACAATCAGACAGTTACTGGGGGCATCAGAATTGGAACTCTTTGCTTGTTGCTAAAGATGGGGACGGTGCGCTTATGGGAGTGTTCCAAGTCCTGTGATGTAGATTCATAATTCAACATTCTTTGCGTTCAGTTTTTTATGCTCAGGTCAGATGGTCGATTTCGCTGCTGATAGGAATTTTCATGTCAGTTGCAGGTAATTTAGATCGTGCAATTTAGCGATTAATTTAGCAATCTGTTGCAATCTGTTTAGTCTGTAACTTAAACGATATTTACTTAACAGGACTAAGCTAACAATAATTATATGCCGACTAGCGTGTCCATCACGAAAACCTGACATTGCCGACGGCAAGACCTCTCTAATCGTCCTCGACAACATACAAAGGGGCTGTTGCGGACAAATGATTGCAGTTACTGTTGCCCGGTATACCTTCAGGCCAACATGAGATCCCGGGATGTATTTTACGGGGACTGTGATGGGTATTCTCAAGAGACATCTTGGGAGATGTGGTTGGAATTATGCGATATTTAATAACGTTTCGTGAGGCAGAATTGAAACTAGGCCGCTGACAAAAAGAGAACATTGTAGTGGAAGAGGCGGAGGTAGGGTTGGCAAGGTAACCCCTGACATATTTTACAAGGAAGGAATGGGGTCCTCAAGTGGTCTAATCTTTGTTAAATAATAATAATAATAATAACAAAATAATTGTAACAATAACATTCTGAATGGTTTACAAATAAAATAATATACAATCCTTGATACAATCCTTGTTAAATGCTTAATAAAAATAGTAAAACAATTTAGTATCGAATAATAGTAGAACAATAATACCAATAACAGTAAAATGCCGAATGTTAAATAAATATAATAATGAATACATAAAAAGTATGATATTAATGAAAAACAAAACTGTATTTAATGCGCCCAGGTCCCATTGCCTCTGACTTAAACATCGAAATACCCCACTAGTGTGTCTGGTAACCGGACGGCTGGAGGATACAGATGACAATGTTTCTCCACCACAATCTGTCAGCCAGATTCTGGACAAGTTTGACAACTGATTGTCTCCCGTGTCGTAGTCTATTAAACTTGTACTTCCTCAGTCGAAAATATCCCAAACATCCTCAGTCGAATACTGAACATGTCGTAAACATCACCAGTCGAACATGTCACAAACGTCCTCAGTCAAAAATGTCCCAAACATCCTTAGTCCAACATGTTCCAAACATCCTCAGTCGAACATGTCCCAAACATCCTTTATCCAACATGTCCCAAACATCATCAGTCGAACATGTCCCAAACACCATCAGTCGAGGGGCGATCAGGGCGTCTCCCACTTTTAAATGTTTTAGGAAATCTTCCCCTAGAGCAGTGACCCTCAACCTTCCTAATGCCGCGACCCTTTAATACAGCTCCCTCATGTTGTGGCGACCATTTAATACAGCTCCCTCATGTTGTTGCGACCTTTTAATACAGCTCCCTAATGTTGTGGCGACCCTTTAATGCAACTCCCTCATGTAGTGGCGACCCACAAACAATAATTTTGCTTCATAACTTCAATGAATATGTGTTCTTCGGTGGTCTTATGCGACCCCATGTGAAAGGGTCATTGGACCCCAAAAAAAGGGTCACGACCTGCAAGTTGAGAACCGATGCCCTATGTACTTTGTGAAGGGTCTAAACCCTCCCCCCATCCCAGTTCTCTCAAATATTTGCTTATACATTACATATAATTTCAAACATTTTATTGTTTATACTTATGATTTAGCACATAACAAAAACAGCAACACAATTAATTTTACACATTTAAACAAGGCTTAAGCGCCCCCCCCCCTCGAGGTTCTCTACAACAATAATGGCGGCTGAGGAGCCCCACCCTTTGAGGACCCTATGATCTCTTTGTGTCATCAACCTTTGTAAACCATGCAGTAGTATTTGCTGACTTATTTCTCTGACTTTATCCCGCTAATTATGTGTCCTGTCAATTGACGTAGGCGTTTATGTTTTTTCCAGACCTTTATTATTATTTTATGACATTACTTCAAACCACTGTCTCAGACCATTAAATATAATCCCCCTCTGCCTTGCTCTGCCTCTTTTAATGCTGATATCTGCAGTCGCGTGATGTTCTTAAACGCCAGTCATCTCGATCCATTGCCGAAGAATACTGCTAGTTTCTTGTTTTATACTTGATTATACAATGACGTGGCTTAGGCGTTGTTACGCGCTTCGTAACGCCGGGGTGCCGGGTTCGATCCCAGCTGCGGGCCTTGTGCATTGCAATGGTTTCGACACTGGAATCGAGAGCCGACCGTTCTGTAAGCATGAGGAAATTACTGACTAAATTTGCCTAGAAAACCACAACTGTAAAAAAATGATGGGTTTAGTTCTACAACTTCATGTAAAAGATACGTAACTAACTGTATACAATGTTACACTCGCCCACTCATTATTATTTACTTTGGTATCCGCAACATTCATCTCAGAAACCACATCTACTTCACTATTCAGACCTTGAATAATTTCATAGTTTACCCCCCTTCTGCCTCACAATATGGTATAACATAAGAAGTCTCATCAAAATACAGTGTCCAATCCGATCCGCGCACATGCTACTTGGATACGTCTTCACAACAGAATACCCATGTACAGACACTACCGAGGTGCTACTGCTTGAGAGGCAAGGAACCAAAAGACTATACAAATTAGCCGGATCTGTAAAATGTAGATGCACGCAAGACTCAAGTTCTGGAACCAAGTACAGAGGTTGACGAAACATCACAACCCCCCAGAACTAGAAGAATAGAACAAGGAGCAGAAGAAGAAGCAGAAGAAGAAGCAGAAGTAGAAGAAGAAGAAACAAACGAAGAAGCAGAAAAATAAGGAGGAGGAGGAGGAGGAGAAGAAGAAGAAGAAGAAGAAGAAGAAGAAGAAGAAGAAGAAGAAGAAGAAGAAGAAGAAGAAGAAGAAGAAGAAGAAGAAGAAGAAGAAGAAGAAGAAGAAGAAGAAAAAGAAGAAGAAGAAGAAGAAGAAGAAGAAGAAGAAGACGAGGAAGAAGAAGAAGAAGAAGACGAGGAAGAAGAAGAAGAAGACGAAGAAGAAGAAGAAGAAGAAGAAGAAGAAAAAAAAAAAGAAGTCGCAGAAGAAGAGGAAATCAAATTATCTGACAGTTCTTACGAATCTTAGGTGTACTATACAGTTATCACATCAGCCGTTACAAGTCTTCTCATTTCTTTCAGTAAAAATCCGCCTCGTTGCAGACTGGAACAAGAGACTTTCGCGTCCTGCAACGAATTGTCTAGCCACAGCGCTACGACGGCTCCCTACTAGATACCTGCTACTGTTTACAAGTCGAAAAAATCAATTAATTATTTCTTTAAAAAGGGGAGGGGGTGGAGCGGGTTGGTGAGGTGTAATGTGATTTTGGGGGGGGGGGGGCTGGGGCAATTTGAAGAAGAAGAAGACGAGGAAGAAGAAGAAGAAGAAGACGAGGAAGAAGAAGAAGAAGACGAAGAAGAAGAAGAAGAAGAAGAAGAAGAAAAAAAAAAGAAGTCGCAGAAGAAGAGGAAACCAAATTATCTGACAGTTCTTACGAATCTTAGGTGTACTTTACAAGTCGAAAAAATCAATTAATTATTTCTTTAAAAAGGGGAGGGGGTGGAGCGGGGGGGGGGGGGGGGGGGGGTTGGTGAGGTGTAATGTGATTTTTTTTTGGGGGGGGGGGGGGCTGGGGCAATTTGATTGTTAACAAAAAATGGGGGGGGGGGGGGTGGGGGAATGAAATTCTAAAATCGAGTCATCTAGAGTTTAAGTTTAAGCAAACCTTATGGCGACTTCTGGTCGCTGCTCGAGCTGGGTAAACATCCTGTATATTTCCTAGTGATTTCTTGCTAACACCTATCATTTAAGTTTCTTCAGTGAACAATTCAATTTTTGAATTTCAAAAGTTAATGTATAGCGAATGTTTAAACAGTTATTCAACCAGAAATTTAACAGACCGCTACATTTCTGAAGTATATTTGCTGTCCAGCAGTCATTATACAGTTTAGTGAAGGACAAGAATGTTTTAACAGATCACCTCATTCAAGGTCAAGCAATATCCTGAGAATGCTTCATTCACTGGAAAAAACCGAACTGGAAAAAAAACCGAAGTAGGATGAAAATATTTGTATAGATGTTTATTTTTTTGTTGGAAACGAAATGAGGCAAAAATTGATATTGCACACTTAAAAACACGTGTATAGGAACATATTAAGTGTTGCTATTTTGTGTCCACGTCTCATCATTATCTCGCAACCTCCCGATCATGGTTCGTCGTTTTACACTAGCATCAGAATAACGGCTTAGTTCTACACCACTTGTTCAAAATTCTCACCATCAGTACACGTGTGTCCACATACGAGTTCCAGGTCCAGTAGGAAGGGGTAGGGAAGTGGGTATGTGGAGAATAGACCAATTGACCGTTTAACATTTTGTAGAAAAAAGGAAAAAAAAAAATTGTTGCAGTTTTTCTGAAATCGGATGTTCAGACCAAAAGAGGTAGATATGTCAGTCTGATTGCCAATGGAAGCAATAAGGCGTTCAAACTGCTACATTTAAGAGGGGACGCAGAGAAATAATCAAAACAGGTTTTTTTCTGTAAAAGAGGAGAAAGACGACGTGTGATTTTGCTACTGTTTTCTAAAATGATAGGCCAGCAAGAAAAGGAAGAACCATCAATATCAAAATTGATGAATACCAGTTAGAGCAGGCGAAGGATTTACATATCTGGAAAGAATTTTTTCAGATGACGGAAGATTAACAAATGAATCCAGTAAAGATGCAATAAAGCCAATCAAGTTTTACGCCAAATGGCACCAATTTTAAAATGCAAGTATGTCAATACGAACATTAAAAGAACACGGCTCAACACAATATTCTTACCAATGCTATGCTATCAGTGCCACACTGGACACTGTCTTCAGAATACAGAAGGACAATAGTCAGGACATAAATAAAATGTTCACATACTATGCTAAGTTTAACAACAAAAGATTGACTTAAGAACGATGATATCAGGAGGAGAGTCTGCACAGAACTAAACTGAATTTTAAAGGTAGACAACAAATCAAATGTTTTGGCCATGTAACAAGATTGGCATCAGACAGGGCACCACTAAGAGTCATGTTATACAGATACAGTAGTAACATTGCCAGAGGTCGACCACGCAGAACGTGGATGGCAGAAATATCAGACACTAAAAAGTACTTTATACAAAGCGAAGTGTCTTGTCCTGACGTCGGCGAGCCATTTCAGTAAAGAAAAGAAAAACGAAGAAGAAGGTTGTACAAATGATACCTTTGTAGAGTAGGTTAGCACTCAGGGCTGCTGTTAGCTAAGTCTGCTATAGAATATGTACGTCGCAAGCTTCAACGGATGGTGGTGTTGACATAAGAGTTACACGTGAACACAGAGCTGAAAATAGATGTGACTGTAGTGCTATTGACAATTAGAAACGTCTTCACAGCACAGCAAAATTTCATAATCCCCTGCGATCATGGTTTATTCTTGTAGTCATAGTTAGTTTATACTGAATACGTGTGCATAGAATGTCCAATACTGGGCACTGTCCAGGGCCGTGTCGTACCATAATACAAAGATGCCCTGGCATCAACCGGCACCGTAAAAAAGGGCCGGGGTGGCGTAAGCAGTAAAATCAAAATACAGTTGAAACTTTTGATCTGAAAGCGCGAAGCTATTAGAGGCAGCAGTTCGGAAGCTTTCATGATACTGGGAAAATCTACAGATTTGCTGAAATCGGATACATTGACCCGAGAGGAGCAGATATTACAGCCGTGTTGTAAACTATAACACAATGTGCCAGCCGCACATTTAAAGGGCAAATGCAGAAAAAGTAGCTTCAAGGCGTTACTTTTTCCGATTTAACCATTAGATTTTACGGACTGGGAAGTTAAAAATATAAAAGATAATTAATTGTTTTACAGTTTGATATTATAATTTATTGCATATTGTGGAATACTAAATATTGCCACATAACCTGTTAGAAAGTTTCACAACAGTGAAGTAGCAGACATACAGTTACTATGGATTTAGCAAACTTGTCAGTAAACACACTTTCAACTATTGTTAAATAAAGTCTTACTGTATATTACAGTTTGAGTAAACATTTTGTGAAGGTCGGAGCGGAGACCAAAGTGAACAATATATAAATGTGTACTTATGAGACATAACGTTTTTACCAGTTTTCATCATTATCATCATCACCATCATGATCGTCATCACCTTGTTGTGCG